TAGTATGTGCACACAAATTTTCAGATCTTTGGTTCCCTATGACGGTTGAAATTCGAGGGGAAAAGGCTTTTGCCCAGGAGTGTACCAGAGAAAAAAAGTATACAATTTGAATCATGAGTTTTTAATATGATGGATGAAACAATAGTCAAAGTAAGAGCTTCAAGCCTGCACTTTTTTATACGCTGTAATCCTAACTACGGTCTATCTTTTTGGCATATTTCTTTTTAAAAAATTTTATCAAAAGATTATAAAAGTTTTCTTAACGAAAAGCCTAGCACGCTATAATTTCATGTCCCACATGCCATTTTGACTAATATTTAGCAAATTTAGAATTGGCGTTAAAAGCTGAGTCAGCTTTTATATATTCCAAAAAATTTCGTTACGTCTTTTTTATCGAAAGTTTCATCCGTATCCCCCTCGAAGTTTAGTAGAAAAATGAAATTCATGAAAAAGACATTTAGGTAATAGAAACCGAATTCTGAGATTTTGAAATGTTATTAGAAGGCGAAATGACACAGAGCAAAACCATGAAAACAACATTCTGATGGAATTTGTTTTTCCACTGAATCCCAAGGGAACCTTTGTAAGATTTTCGATGAACACAGACCTAACGAAAATTTTTCAAAAAGAAATATACCAAAAAGATAGACCGTAATTAGGGTTACAACATATAAAAAAAGGCAGACTCGAAGCTCTTACTTTGACTATTGTTTCATCTATCATACTAAAAGCTCATGATTCAAATTGTATACTTATTTTCTCTGGTATGATTTCTTTCTCATATAAAAAGCTAAATTAAAAAAGTAATAGAATAGATCGGCTTTGTAGAGAAAAACATGCTCTATCATTTGAGATATTGCTCATCTCGAACCATCAAATGGTGGAGGAGAAAATTGCAAAATTTGACCAGAATTGAAAAAAGTTGATTTAAGAGTAGGAGTCATAGGTTTAAAGAATTGAGTATCTTTCTATTGGTTTTGGCTAAGCCCGAGTGGACTGATATTTGGGTTTACATAATAAACTTTTATAGACTTTCGCAGTAAATAGACAACTTCAAAATCTAAAATTTTTCCGTAGCCGACATGGTCCGTGGCCTACCGCAGTCTCTCTTAAAAATTCGCTTTCACTGATGAAAATATGCATACACCAACATACCGACTCTTTTATTTATTACTTCAGTTTTGAGATATATTCTTCAACAAATAAACGTTATCCTTTGTTTTCAATCCTTCACTTTAAGAATGCGAGCAAGAAAAGAATAAACATTCTGTTGTAAATCATGCGCCACACAAATACTCGTGAAAAAATAGAAAAAAACCTCTTTATTATGCTTATCTAGTGAAAAGACGATCATTCTGGAAATAGTCATCATAACGGGCAGTTTGAAAGCTTTGAGACAAAATTTTCCTTCATTTTTCAACGAATTAAGAGGGACAACGGAAATGATAAAACCTTGATTTAGAATCAGAATTATGTGCTCTTTCTTAATCTAAGTTCTGAATTTTTATGGGACTTATAAAATAACAGGTATGAGCTAGTATCTGAAAGGCTTAAGAATAAACTTGCGGTGGATTTCAGCGCAGGAAAAATATCTGTAGGCAGTTTCGAATGCACCAAACATAAGAGCAAACATTTCTCAACAAAATACTATCTTGGTGAATAGTTTTGTGTTAGATGTCTATAAACAACAAGAATTTTGGCAAGAGAAGCAATGACATTTTTGCAAGTCCTTGATTAGCAGACATATAAAGTAAACTTTATTATTTCTAGAGAATTCCTGCGAAATCCTGAGCTCTTAGCGCACTTTGTAGAGCACAATCTTTCTTTTTATGCTGCGCAAAAGGATCGCTCATAAAACATAGGCATTAGGGGATATCATTGCTGAAAAGGACGTCTACTATGTAGTGGTGATCAAAAACAATCTTCAAAATGTGATGCATTCAAACAAAAGGAAGTGGAACTAAGTGAAATGAGTGTTTTTACTATAGAAATACAGAAATTGTTATATCTCTTATCTTCGAATGACGACAGAACGGATAAAAAGAATCTCCCTTCGCATGGAATCGAACCATGCACCTCCTGCTTTCCGGGTAGACGTATTAACCACTTTACTAGAAAGGGTATTTCCTCTTCGTCTTACGATTGTACGGGAACAATACGATCGTAACAGATATGCCTAGAAAATCATTGAAAAATATCATAGAATCATTTTCCAACGAAATACGGTCGCATTTTTTGTTTCTGAATCTGTTAGTGCAGTTGTCTCCCCTCAAAATCTATTTTCAGGCTTTGCAAAGACTAGGTCATAACTCCTAATCTATGGATATCAGAAAAATTCTGAATTTTGATTCGGAAAGAGCATACGACTTTAATTTCTAGCTCATAATTTTAAAATTACTGCTGGGCTCTTGATCGGTCGAAAAATGAAGGAACACTTTGTCTCAAAACTTTTTGATCATTCGTTATGCTACGAAACTGAGTAGTTATTTCAAGAAGAAGCATTGCTAATGCTTACGGTACTGCATCCAAAACCGAAATCAGTTATAGTCATGAAGAGCTTATCATTTTCTAGGCATAAAACACACCGTTTTCGATGCTTAGTTTGCATCTATACCTATAGACTTTCTCAAACCCAACCGCACATGAGAAAGCTAAAAAGTAAAACGTGAGTTCTTAATGTAACTCGATAAGAATTTAGTAAAAAAGTTTAGATGGTTGAAAATTTTCATTTGCGACAAAATACGAAAGAACTATTTGGGAATCTTCCATGGATAGATACAGTGGATCGAAAAATGATGTGTTCTCCTAAGTAGAGCCATCCTTTTTTCTTTTCTATGCCTCAACTAAATAGATTACAGAGTTGAAATATATATAATTATGTAACATGTTACCCCTAGTTTGCATACCACTACTTTCAGCAATTTTGCCCTTTGTTATTTTTATTGTCTAAAGAAGATAGTTCAATTATGCTGAGTTTTCATAACGAAAAACTATTTGTTCAGCATCGAAGAATCATGCATCTTCAATCCATAGTTAGTCACAACGACATATGCTGGTTTCATTCGTGATTCTAGACCTTAGGGCGTGCAATGCATTTTAAAAATCTGATAAAGTCATCTGAAAAAGGCACTTTTTGTGATAAACTATCGTTAAACCTACAAACACTTTTACGTCGACGAGAGCATGTTCTTTTTTTTCAGAATTTACCCAAACAGTAACAAGGATTGAAGTGAAATCCGTGTTAGGGATAAAAATACTCACTTCGAATAGCCTTTTAACTAGTTTGAATTTATGCAAGGCTGAAAAACCACTAAATTACCTTCTATTTTCACTACCACCTCCACTGAAAAGACCCGCTTGAGGAAGGAACCACAAAGCAAAATCAAAATCAACGGCACAGTCAGATAGAGCGCACAAATGTGTGCTAGAAAATATTGCAGAGCTAAAATTCGAAAGCCTTCCTCGTGATTTGTCACAGCAACAACAATATTCACCGTCATTAATTATTGACATAATAAAAGCCCACTATATAAAACTCGCTACTAAAATTCAACCGTCGTTCTCTAAACAGCATTGGCTAACCCAAGAGAAGTAAATTAGACATGTTTAGATTAGAGTACTCTGAGAAGATAAAATATTGCTGTCATCAAGTTTTGTATGGATCTTTGCATATGATACTTGTGTCATGCCAATTATTAATAATGCGGAATAATTGTCTAGCTGTAACAAGTAATTACGAAAGTTTTTAAGCTTTAGCTCTGTAGTATTTTCTAGCGCAAATTTAAGCGTTCTATCTGAATGTGGCACTGGTTTGAATTTGATTTAGAATGTGTGCCACGATGAGTCTTTTCAGTGAGACTGGCAAAGAATAGCAAATGTCATTTGATAGCTTTCAGATCATGTGTGTACTCGAACTCGCTGAAATGCTATTCGGAAAGAGTATTTTTATGCCCAACAGAGATTTCACTTCAATTCTTGTTTCTATTTGGGTTAATTCTGAAAAGGAAAATGCTCTCGTCAATGTAACAGTGTTTGTAAATTTAAAGGTAGTCCATCACGAAAGGTGCCTGGTTTAGTTGATTTTATCAGATTATTTAAAATGTTTTTGTGCTGCCTGAGGTCTAGAGTTTTGAATGAAACCAAAATATTTTGCTACAGTCATTTATTGATTGGCAATACAAATAGAAAGGACAACATTGCTAGAAATAATGGTATGCACACTAAGTGTGATATGTTACGTAATAATATATACTTGAATTCTCTAATCTATCTAACTGAGGCATAGGAAAGAAAGCAGGACGACTCTATTTACCTGGACGAATAGTTTTTCGACCCATTGTATCATAGATTCTGCTATGGGTTTTTAAATAATGCTACAATCAACTTATTTAACTTGTAAACAATCATTGTATTTCTATTATATTTGTATATATTAAAATATTGACAATTAAAACTGCATTGAAAAATAATTTCAAATGATCACTAGTATATTGATTGATTATATCAATGATGTAAAGATCTATGTTAGAACTCGGAACTGTAACGTAAGGCTTTCTTCGATCAAAGTTATAAGCAACACAAAATAGACGTGATGTACTATTCTCATATGAAATTTTTCGTCATGAGTTTTTTCAACTAAAGTACGTATGTGAGTAAGTACGCATGACAATGTTTAATGTATAGAAGCGAAAAAGAAAAATAAGTGAAGCCTTCATTCCATCCATGTTCTTTTGCCATTTTTTTTACATAATCCCTTGTTTTTTTGCAGTACACAGCGTTTGGTATTCGTGTAATCCCCAGTAAGACACGTACGTACACATATGGCGACACCCACAAATGTGAATCGCCGTTTGTTGGAAAGTGTTCGAGATGAACCAAAGAAAATGCTGCTTCCAATATCTGGCTACGAGAAAGTCACCGTGAAAACTCTCGAGCAAGCTTGTGAATCAATAAAAGATCTTTTCGATAAAAAACTGCAACAATATATCACAATTGCCAAAATGAACTCAACGGAACCCGAAGATGGACTCTCTCCAGATGAGTCAGCTGCCATCCATCTGTATACTTTAGAATGGGATGTGCATGAAAACAGCTTATACATGGCGCTGAATCGAACTCTTCGTCTGGCTGATCGTACAAAACTTCAGCCGTGGTTTAGATTTTTGAAGCTGTTTCTTACAGCTTTTTACAAATTGCCGTAAGTGAAAAAAATTATTTATCCTTTTATGTTATGCTATTTTTTTCTGGATCAGGCGAAGCGAACACACACTTGTTTGGCGTGGTGTACGCGAAGATCTCAGTAGCCTTTATCCAAAGGGCAAAGAATTTGCTTGGTGGGCATTTAGTTCCTGTACTGCTGCAATAAGTGTTCTTGAATCGCCGAATTATTTGGGAAAATCAGGCACAAGAACAATGTTCTCCATTCAAACCAACAGTGGAAAAGAAATTCGTGCCCATTCATATTTTGAGAACGAAGATGAAATTCTTCTTCCTCCTGGTATTTATCTCAAAGTGATTGATAGTTTGAATCCAGCTGAAGGTCTACATATTATTCAACTTCGTGAGATTCCACCACCATATCAAATGCTGACTGAACCTTTTGATCTCACTGAACTGAATTCAGCTTTACCACAAGCAAAGTCATCATCATCTGCATCAACAGCAAGTAAAAAGCAAGAAAATTATTCAGCAGCAGATGCTATACCGAAGCCATTTATACAAGCATCGTCAAAAAACAGTTAGTTGCCTCTATTTTATTGAAGACGAGAAAATTTATAGGAACAAAATTTGAATAGGATATCAGGGATGCAACTAGAAAATTAATTTCGAGCCTCTGCCCTTGAGCTGTTACAATAGCGATTGATCAAAAAAGAGTTATGCCATTGCTATTTGTTGTCTTTCCTTTCTTTATGGTAAAAAGTTTGAAATTGACTTAAATCATAAGCATGGTGTAGAAGAAACGGGCTAGAGCGTGACTGCGGCTTGAATCTTTAACCAGACCCACGCCCTTGTAGCCCTCGACTTACCTAAGTTCTCCAAGTTTCTGAAAACTATTCAGTTCCCTAAATTCAATGTGTACCAATGCTTGGATGAGAATTTCCGTAAATCTTTAACTTTTTTAAAGTTCTTTTGTGAAACACGATCTGAAAGGAGTGTTGAAGTGTTTAGGGGCAGAAATTTGCCCCTCCCCACACAGACCGTGACAGAGAAATTCCATACCCATCACAGACCGTGACAGAGAAACCCCAATACCCATCACAGACCGTGACAGAGAAACCCTAGTACTCACCACAGACCGTGACAGACAGGGCTTTAGACCCATCACAGACTGTAATAGACCCACCCGGAACCCATCAGAGACCGTGACAGACAGGCCCGGAACCCATCAGAGACCGTGACAGACAGGCCCGGAACCCATCACAGACCGTGATAGAGGAACTGTGGTTCTAAAGCATTAGATAAACGGTTAGCTACAAATGTATCGAAAGAAACGGAACAAAACGATTCCCATTTAACTAGTAACAATTAGGGGTGGCACTTTATCTTTACTTTACTTTAATAAAGTACAGTAAAGTAAAGCATTTGACTTTACTTTACCGAGTAAAGTAAAGTGAAGCATTTGAGTTTAATTTATTTAGTAAAGTAAA